CATAAAATTTTTAAATAATGAGAGAAACAACAAACAAATGGGACTGCCAATGGGAACTTCGATGAAAAATAATTGGAATCTGTTTTAGTCCTCTTGACAAAATTATGCAATATTTATCAATAGGTTTATTGAGTGCCTGTGGCATGGGACTCTGGCATGGTGTTGAGTACTATGAGAAAGAAAAAATAGTCGGCGAGGAATATTATCAACAATGGAGCAATGTAAGTGTCTTATAAATTACCGCTCACAATAATCCGTTATTTTTCTATTAATAATATGAAAGTAACAGAGAAAATATTCAAAAGTTTAATAAAAACATTGAAATCACGAGAAGGATCCGCCGGATGAATGAATATTTCGGTCGTCATTGTGGGGTAAAAACACATAATGGGTGCCGAGATTTCTCACGGATCATTGCGCCTCGTGCATTCAATTCTGCTCTCAATATTTTCTCTGATTTCATCGTGATAATATTATTCAACTTTCCTAGAATGTAAATTAGAGTGAACAAAAAGTGAAACAAAATCGCTAATGAGATCCGAGATAACAATTTTGATAATAATTTGTTTTCGGTCTTTCGGTTTAATTGAGATTGTGCAATTGATCATATTATTTCACAAAGTAATTTTATTTACGTACTTTAATATTCAATTCAATATTTATTTCAGCGACAAAGAGGTGAAAGGGAAAAGGCTATTTAGCTGATAGTCTAGTTTTTGAGGATTATTTCTGAATCTGAGATATATAACGAAATTTTTGTATAAACCTTTTTTGTAGCGCCCATTTCACTTCACGAAAGAAGTTATTACGAAAATTTTTCAATTTCCTTTAGATTCAGAGATATTTGACTGGAGAACGAATCGACTCTTTCCCTTTCATCTCTTCACTCCTGCATTCCTATCGAATCCTTTTTCTTTCGGAATTATTACGATTCGGAAATTTCATTCTAAATTACGCGTTTACTTTCCCGTATCCTGTAAATGTAAACATGAATAACAAGAAAAAAAAATAATCCATTTAAGTTTCAGAATTGTCTGACAAATTTCTTTTCTTCCACTTAAAGCTGAATTCCGTCCATCAAATATAAACCAGAAATTTCCTCTTTTTTTCCATAAACCACGGAATATCTTCTAAAATATAAAACAAATAATTCCCCACAACCCATCGAATTCACGTAAAACCACTTAACACCGTTTTTACGGCAAATTTAACGGGCCACAAAAAGGCGCTTAAGTTTCATCTCCTCGAACCGATAGTTCTCTTGATAAATTGATAATTAATAAAGAACATCAGAATAATGATCTGAAATGGTAAAAATCTCACTAGAGCCTTTAGCTGCAGAATAATGTGATGATTGAAATTGAAATTGCACAGGTGTTGAAGAATCATGTGTCACAGTGGTACGACTGGTCATTTTATCTAGCCTGGCTAGGTGTTGCCACGTGTCTAGCCACGATGACACTCTTCCTTATAGCAGCATCGTGCTTAAGGAAAGAACGTGCCCGAGAGCAAGCCGCTAATGTTCAATACATAATGCCAGGTGACAAAAAAATGGAAACAAAATTTCACTAATGATTGATTTTTTTTGTTGTGTTTTATCTGGGGTGCATCATCGTACGGCAAATATCTAGATCCTCAAGGAAAGCTCGATTATTTCGTATGACTGGTCGTACGTGGTGGCTTGGGTCGGCGTCGGTTGGTCGCTAGTCAGTGCAATACTGTTTAGTGCTGCAGCGATTTGCTTGAGGGGAGAGAGAATGCGCGACGAGGCCATGAACATGCAGTACCTCATGCCTGGTACATACGTAACACTATTGCTTCTACTAACTTTAATCATATCAGTAGCGAAATCCTAAACTGGAGATATCTGCATTTTTTCCGAGACAAGTTTTCAGCCAATATCTCGCAATTGGGGGAACATGGTCAATTTTTTGCATAAACATTTTTTGTAGAAAATCATGAGAGCTACAAAAAAGGATTCTATTAAAAAATCATCATCTTCCTTCGGTTTCGAGATATTCGCTAAGGCGGGGTTGTGAAAAAAATGCACTTATCCTAGTTTACTACTTATGTGTGGCCGTCTGCATGATAAGGGCCTACTTTGTCGATATGGAGTTCGTATATACCTGGTTATATGACCTGGATTTTGAGACCGCCCTTTTTGTTTTTTTTTTTTAAGTCGGAATAATTGATCTCTAGGTGAGATAATAGAAGTCAATGTCTCTGGTTCGACGTAGGAAGAGTTCTATAGTCATGTTGGAGACAATAGAAGAAAAGACAATAGAAAAAAGACACAATCTTTGAGAAAAAGGCAAATATCTCAGAAACTAGGATCGACAAAGTGGGGACATTTCAAACGGACGGGTACATATCTTAATATACATATAGGAGAGTCTGGGGTAATATCGACCACTTCCTGGTCGAATTGGTGGAGTGCAATTAAGGATGGTCTTACGAACGGTCTTGGAAAAGCTATTGAATTTGATGGAAGCCGTCTCACATCATTAATAATTGCTAATTGCCAGCCTAACAGTCCAGCCAAATTCATGCAAAATTTTTGCTGGACTGTTGAAATTTTATTAAGTTCATCATGATTAAAACATTAACGATTCAATCCATCTCATGTCATCGGTTTTGATTCAGTAGTGACGTGCTAGGGAAGTAATTCATTATTAATTGAAGTTCTCTTAATTTTCTTTGGTGAGTTTTCGGGCAATATCTTCGGAATTGAGGGAAATACCGATTTTTTCGTTATGAACTTTTTGGTAACTCATCCGCGCTAAGAAAAATGGTTCTACATCATTTTTAATATGTTCTTTAGTTTCGGAGATATTTTTCAAAAACTCACTGAAGAGCTAGCTCGGTTTTTTATTTTTTTATCGCTTCGGTATTGACTTTAATTTATCGCAAATCGTTCGGGAAAATC